AAAGATTTAGCATACATAAGCAACATTGGAAGAGCCCAATATTAAACTTAAGCATTAACAATCCAACATTGGGATGAAAAAAAAGATTCACCTCATTAACCTTAAAATCATTTTTGGAAGAGGTAAAAAAATCAATTCATATTTAAGAGCAAGGGCAGATGAGAAAACTGAATTATACCTCAAATTGGAAACATAACCAAACTGAAAGGTATAACTAATCTAAATTAACAAGTATTCACTCTTCATATTTTTCTAGAACCAAATGTTTGACTTTATTTTATATTCTAGTAAGTTTCCAAACACTGTCTTGCAAGAAAATAAATTAAAAGACAATCAATTTGAAAATTAGTTTGAAAAATAGTTTGGATCAAAACTTGTCTGACATTATATTTGAAATTACTATGCATGCATTAATCATTAATCACTAATCATTTTCATACTCATTAATCACTAATCATTATTTACAATGTCATCTAAAAAAGAATAAAGATGTAAAGGGAATCATTTTCATATGCAGACATAACAAACAAACAATATCATCTTGAATCTAATCTTAATTAATTTAGCTAGCAAACAAAAACAAAGTCAAGCTTACTTTAATTACAATATTTTCCAACTCCAAATCACCTTCGACCCCATTCCACATAAAAATTGAATACGTATCAAATTTCTTGCAATGTCCAAATGTTTGATTGTAAATGTAGAATTCGTTGTCATAAAATGAAACAAAAAGAGAAAATATGATAACATATTAACACAAAATGGTTATTTGAAACCCTAAATAACAAAACCTAACAATACAAAACTCTAAAACTGAATCAAAACCCTCAAGCTTGCAAACAAAAGTAGAACAATGGTAGGACGAAGATCACAATTTTAAATGATGTTATTTTTTTATGAAGGTTAGCAAGAAAAGAAGATGATGTTCTTCATCTTAGAGTTATGGCGGTGAGGGTGAGTAACAGTGAGTGATGGTGGTAGACTGCGGGAGAAGAGACACATTGGTGATTGATGAGGGAGAAAAGTAACGATGTTGATTGATGAGGAAGAAGAGAAACTGTGTAGGCTTTGAGCTCGACTAGAATTTAACACACACACACATACAAAGAGAGAGAGAGAGAGAGAGAGAGAGAGAGAGAGAGAGAGAGAGAGAGAGAGAGAGAGAGAGAGAGAGAGAGAGAGAGAGGCGCGATGAAAATGAAATGAGTGAATGAGTGGTGTGTGATGAGTCTCAGAGGGTATTATCAAGTGAGAAACATAAAACGACATCGTTTCCTTTCCTATATTATAACATTTGGACGGGTCAAGGTACTCGCGGTCTATAATTTGTTATTTGAATCGCCCATTTAAACCTAACCCAACATGCCTAAGTCACCTGTTGGGCTGTTTAGACCTGCCAAATACCAGTTTTTTGGTTTCAGCCAAGTTGGGTTGGACCTTCGGTTCTTGTCCACCTCAAATAGTAATAATGTTTTTTCTTATTCTATTTCTTGTTATGCATATGTTTATTCACTTTTTTGCCTTTTAATTATGTTTGAATATTCTTTTATATTGGGATTATGAGAATGCTAATGTAGACACCTCATAAAAATCTATTTGATTTCTTTTTGTTATGGATACAAACAATTTAATTTAATGTTATCATATTTCATTCTTATAAATATACAATTACATAATTTTAGATAATTGACCGAACAGCGTGAACAAAGTCTTTGTAAATTTCTCTATACTATGATCTATATTTGTATATATTTGCGTTGTTGTTCTAATACCAATCATCTCTCATATAATATAAAACAAAATGATTAACACATAAAAATAACTTTAAGAATTTTAAGAATTTTTTAGACATATACATTTAATAGACTTTGTTATACTTCAACCATAAAAATAGGAAAATCATTAGTGTAAAATATTTTTTTTACTTCAAATGATACTTAAGTTATAAGGAGAATGTCCTCGTATTTAATAATTTTTTTTAAAACTCGATATTCAATCTTAAATTTGATTAATCGTAGGCATTAATTCCTCCATCAATTAATAGTAGATATGACAATAAAATCCATACATGTGAATTCACCCCAAGTTTGAAGAGGAAAATCCACTTTAACTAAGTTTGAATTTTTTCTTATTTCAAAATATAATAAGTATGAGACGGATAAATGAGATGTTATACCGACTCCGGACCTCTCCCCAAACTCGCCCCATTAATAACTTAGAATATTTGATTTTTATAATTTAGAATATTAATTAATTGATTAATATATTGATATTTGATTTATGTTTTACTTAAAATATTTAAAATGTATATTTGAAATTTTTTCAAGATTTTTTTTCTTCTATTTTTATTGTTAGTTAAAGTTCGAAATATATTATGAATTTGGAAAAATGAACTATTTTAATTAAAAAAATTAATTCTGATAAGGAATGAGACGAGGCGGCGATAACCAAATCGTTTGAAGTAAATTTTGAATTCAATTATTTATCCTATTTAAATTCAAAACAAAGAATAAATACTTAATTATATTTGAGTTCTTTTTATCAAATAGTATAGTGGCTGAAATTCATTCCTTAAAAATGAAGAAATTGGATGTTGTAGATTCAAATCTGCACCCTGTATTTGATATTCCTACGCAACTTCCTGCTGAATTATTGTAAAAGGACAATTGAGATCTAAGTAGCATGGAGTTAAATTAAAGATAAATAGAGGAAAATTTGGTATGAGTCACCTTAAGAACAATGGTAAAACAAATATCACAACTTAAAATGATGTTGTTTTTCATGAAGGTCAGCAAGAAGAGGAAATGATGTTCTTCGTCTTGGAGTAGTGGTGGCGGTGAGTGTGAGTAAGAGTAAGTGATGGTGGTGGACTTGGGGAGAAGAGAAACAACGGCGATTGATGAGAGAGAACAGTACCGATGCTGATTGATGATGGAGAAGAGAAACTGTAGACTTTGAGCTCTATTAGAGTTTAACTGAGAGAGAGAGAGAGAGAGAGAGAGAGAGAGACAGAGAGAGAGAGAGAGAGAGAGAGAGAGAGAGAAAGAGAGAGCACGATGAAAATGAAATGAGTGAATGAGTGATGTATGATGAGTCTCAGAGGGTATTACCAAGTGAGAAACATAAAACGATGTCGTTTCCTTTTCTATATTGTAGCATTCGGGTGAGTCAAGGTACTCGCGATTTAGAATTTGTTATTCGAACCACCCATTTTTTCCACCCCTAATATTAATCATGTTTTTTCTTATTTTATTTCTTGTTATGCATATGTTTATTCACTTTTCTATCTTTTAATTATGTTTGGATTGTGGAGATTCTAATGGTAGATACCTCATAAAATCCATTTGATTTTCTTTTTATGGATACAAACACTTTAATTTAATGTTACCAAATTTTATTTTTGTAAATGTATAATTACATCATTTTAGGCAGTTAACCGAACTACGTCAACAAAGTTTTGTTAGTTTCTCTCAACTCCGATTTATATTTGCGTTACTTCTATAACATCAATCATCTCACATATAAGATAAAATAAAATAATTAACACATAAAAATAACTTTAATCATTTTGAGAATTTTTTAGACACATACACTTAATAGACTTTGATATACTTCAACCATAAAAATAAGAAAATTATTAGTGTACAATATTTTTTTTTTACTTCAAAATGATACTTAAGTTATAAGAAGAATGTCTGGTAATTAATATATTTTTTAAAAAATTTGATGTTCAATCTAAAATATGATTAATCAAAGACGTCAATTCCTCCATTCACTACTAATAAATATGTTAATAAAACTCGTACATGTGAGTACCCGCCAAAATCTATCTCGAGTTTGACGGGAAAAACTCACTTTAATTAAGTTTGAATTTTCTCTGATTTCAAAATATGAGTGTGAGACAGATAAAGAAAATATTATATCTATTCCAAACTCGTCTCCAAACTTGTCCTGTTAAAAATTTAAAATATTTGATTTTAGTAATTTAGAATATCAATTATTTGATTAATATACTAATTAATATTTAATTTATGTTTTATTTAAAATATTTAAAATGTACATTTGAAATTTTTTAAAGGTTATTTTAGTTTTTTTTTAATTTCTATTGTTAGTTAAAGCTCGAAATATATTATGCACTTAGAGAAATGAACTATGTTAATTTTAAAAAATCTATTCTAATTAGCGATGAGGTGGGGCGGGGATAGCCAAACTGTTTGAAGTAGGTTTTAAATTCAACTATTTATCATTGTTTAAATTCAAAACAGTGAATAAATATTTAATTGAGATTTAAGTTTTTTTATTAAGTAGTCTAGTGATTAAAATTCATCCTCTAAAAATGAGCAAATTAAATGTTATAGATTTGAACATAAACTCTTATATTTGATATCTTTATACAAATATCACTTGAAACTATTTTAACCAACAATTCAAATCTGAATTTAAATATAAAAAAAGTAAAATCTTTGTTATCTTAGAGTAGCATGGAATTTAATTAAAGATAGATAGAGTAAAATTTGGTATGAGTCACTTTAAGAATGGTTGGCACTTGGAGAATCCAAACCTAATATAAAGAGCACACTTCTTTTGTAACAATGTCCACACCTTGTGGATGATATCTTCTTGCCCTTGTATATAGATCTAGTGATGTTCATAAGGCACTACCTCAATGGTCAAAATTAATTTGACATAAAGTATTTTAGATAACTAATATTCTTTCACGATATTATTTGAGTGTAGTACAAGTGAGCATAGACTATATTTTCACAAAAAAAGAAAAAGCAAGTGGGTCCCACCCAGACACTCACACGTGCCATTCCACTACTCCAGTATCTAACTAACGTACCTCTCAGTCGCACACACCTCACAAATTCTCAACCTCCATTCTCTTCTCTGCTACCTCATTTCAACTTCTTCGGTTAGTTCTTCATCTTCTTACTCCATTCATCACTCTAACTAACAGTTTTTTCAATTTTGCATGTTTCTACTTATCACTTCAGAAAATGGCTAGTAACAGCAATGATCAAGATTCAAAATCGACCAATCCTTCTGATCCGCCTCCAGTTTTTGCGCTCAATGAAAGGATACTTTCTTCCATGGCAGATAAAAAAGACGCTGCTGCTCATCCATGGCATGACTTAGAAATTGGTTCATCTCTTTTTTTATATATCTGCAATTTTATTTTAACTATATAATTTAATTCATTTTTTTCTTTATTTGTAGTGCTTCATGAATGTATGATTTGTTTTGAGTTTTGACACTAGCGAGATAACCTAATGCTTTTGATTCTCGTAAATACAGGGCCAGGAGCTCCATCAGTTTTCAATTGTGTAAGTTTTATTTATTTATTTATTATTAATGGCAAAATTGAAAAATAATTGTGTGGTTAAAGACTAGTAATTGGTAAAGCAAAATGTCTGGAAAAGGTGAAAACTGTTTGTTATTTATTTTTGAAATTCCTTTATGTTGCTATGATGGTATAGATATTATTATGTACCTCTTTATTCGAGTTTATACATAAATTTTTGTGACAGTATTTGAGAGATTTTATTAAATTAGCTTATGATATTTTTAATAATTTTTTTTAGCTTATTTTTATAAGTTCTTTAAGATAATTTACAGAAATAACTTATAACATATATAAAGACTAACTAAATTTATTTTTTCGATTTCTCTAAAAATGACTTATACAAGCGTATTCATAAATGCTTATTTTGATAAACACTTGTGTTATAAGCTGTAAATAAGTTGTTTATCCAAATAGACTCAAATAAACCCTATATTTTATTTTTGCTTAAAGAAGAAAACTAAGATCTCTCATCTGTGTTAGAGTATCTGACGGTTATCTATCAAGTATGTAATGTTTGTACTTGTAGTGAATTGTGAAAGTTAAACTAAAATTACCATTAAAATGTATCAAATAGCTTGCATTGCATTATGTGAACTGAATTACACAAAATCTATTACAGAACGATGAACCTCATACTACTTATAGTAGCTATAGTTTAGTTATTCTCAGCAACTATATCTCAACCATCTAGAAGAAAGTAGTTACAACAGTTACAACTAATTTCACTTGATAGTTACAGCTAATTTGACTTGATAGTCATAACAACAGTAAAGTTAACTTGTTGCACAAGTAAACTTTACTAACTTCAACTATCCTTTTTGTGCTCAACATCCCCTTCAAGCTGGAATAGATGTCAATCATTCTTAACTTATATTGAAGGTTGTTAAAAGGTCCTATGTGCAGAGACTTGGTTAGACTTGAAAATCTTGTAGTAAATAAAAAATCCATTACCTTTCACAAGTTGCTTGGGCCAAGGCTCTATATTCAGCTTCAAAGGAGGATCTAGACACTATTGCTTGTTTCTTACTCTTCTAGCTAATAAATGCACCTCCATGGAAGAAACAAAAGACTGTTGTAGATCTCCTTGTATCAGGCATTGCTCCCCAATTAAAATCAGAGAATCCCTTGAGTTTTAACACAAATGATGAGCTAAAAAAGAGACCATTACCAGGGCTACCCTTGAGATGCTCCAGAACATGAAATCCTGCTAACATGTGCTCATCTGTTGGTGAATTGAGAAACTGACTGAGCTTGCTTACAATATAAGATATCTCTGGTCTTGAGTGAGTTAGATATAAAAGCCTTCCAATTAATCTTCTATATGTAATTGGATCAGAAAGTAATGTGCCAAATTCTTCGTGTAACTGTAAATGAGGTTGCACAGGAGTGTTACAAGGCTTTATTCCACAGTATCTTGCAAGAGGTCAAGTGTGTACTTCCTTTTGCACAATGTAATACCTTCCTTTGATTTGTTCACTTCAACGTCTAGAAAGTATTTAAACTCTTGTAGATCCTTGATACTAAATTTGTCATTTAAGAGGATCTTAATGTTAGTAATCTCATCATCATCAGTCCCCCCTAAGATCAAATCATCTACATATACAAGGATCACAGTGAAAGCTGCACCATTAGATTTAGTATACAATGAGTAGTCAGATTTTGATTGAACATAACCTGAGTGCAACAGAGTTTCAATTAGTTTGGTATTCCACTAACTGCTTGCCTGCTTTAAGCCATCCAGAGATCTTTGAAGTTTGCACACCACGTTAGGATGAGGTAAATCAAGACTAAGAGGAAACTGCATATACACTTCTTCATTGAGATCACCATGCAAGAATGTTGTATTGACATCAAGTTGGAATAATGGCCAACGTTGAGCAGTTGCAATAGTCATGAAAACTCTTATGGTAGTCATCTTGACAACTGGACTAAAGGTGTCTAGATAATCCAACCTTCAATTTGAGTGAAGCCCTTAGCTACCAATCATGTCTTATATTTTTCTACAGTTCCATTAGCATGTAGTTTGAGTTTGAATACCCATCTACAGCCAATTGCCTTCTTGTGATTAGCATGTAGTTTGAGTTTGAGTTTGAATACTTACTTGAAGAAGAAGTTGGAGATTCATCTAAATTAGTAGACTGAACTGCATTCTCAATCAAGTTGCAATGATAATCTTGTAGGAATGTGGGAGGGTGAGTAATTCGAGAAGATCTTCTAGGGTGAAAATTAAGGTTAGATAAGTTGAGTGATGGGGCTTTAATAGGTGAGTGATTTGTGTGAGAATGTTGTGAGTTTGAATGAGAGGTTGTATTGTTTAGTAGATGATGTATTTGGTGTATGGACATTAGGTGTGGTGGTTGAGGTATTAGGTATATCATGATTATGTTGATCTGATGTGATACTATGGTGAGAATCATGAATGTAAGGGAAGTAAAATATATCAGTTGGATAAGAAGAGTTAAAAGATAGATTATGAAAAATAGGTGATGCATGATTAGAATGTTTCTAAGGAAAAATGGAGTCAAAGAAAATAACATATCTTGACCAAAAAATTTCTTCAGAATGTAAGTCAAATAGAATATGTCCTTTAACACCTATCTATAGACCTATATACATGCATTTCTTGGATCTAGAGTCTAATTTCTTCCTATTAGCTTGTAGTGTTGATGCAAAACAAAGAGAGCCAAAAACTTTGAGGAGATTGAGATCAAGTAAGCATTGATGTAAAACATGAAAAGGCGACTTGTTTTGCAAGAAAGGTGTAGGAAGTCTATTTATGATATGAATGACATGACTTGTTGCATACGACTAGAAGATCTTAGGTAATTAAGCTTGAAATAGAAGAGCTTCAGTGATGCCAAGACTGTGTTGGTGTTTTCTCTCAACTATGCCATTTTGTTGAGGTGTTCTAACACATGAAGTATGATGTATAATGCCAGATTCTCTATAGAAATCTCTAAGGAGAAACTCATTGCCATCATCTGACCTGATGCATTTGATGGATCTATTAAATTGTGCATGAACTAAAGAAACAAAGGCTTTAACAAGATTAGATGTTTGTGATTTCAATTTCATGAGAAAAATCCATGGAAATCTACTTTTATCATCTACAACTGTAAGAAAATATTTGTGGCCGTTGATGGAAGGAATGGATAAAGAGCTCCATATGTCCATATGGACTATGTCAAAAAAATCAACAGACTTGTGAGTACTATAAGGAAAAGGTAATCTCTTTTGCTTGGCATAGAAGCAAACATCAAAAGGCATATCAGATTGCATAATTTGGACAAAAGAAAAGTTTTCTTTATTTCAATTAACTTGTCATACGAAGGATGACCAAGTCTTAAGTGAAAAATGTTACAAATTATTGTCATGTGTGAAAGTAAACTGATTAACAGAGTTGACACAAGAATTGTATTTTAAAATGAGAGAATTGATGGATGCATCAGTGTAGCAAGGGTGTGTGTGTGGAATTGCAACATGGGGATAATTGAGAATGTAAAGTCCACCTCTTAATTCAGCTGCACCAATCATCTTCTTTGAGTAGGAATTCTGTATCAAACAAGTGGAGTTATCAAAAATGAGTTAGCATTCAAGATTCTGAGTCAATTTAGGGACATATTTGAGATTGAATGAAAATTAAGGTATGTATAAAACATTGGTTAAAGTGAAATGAGAATCGAAGAAAATAGTTTCTGCAAATTTAGTGGTGACTGAAGAACCATTTAGAAGTTTCACTATTATAGGAGAAATTCTTTTCAAGCAAGTAAATTGTTTTTAGGAAAGCAAATATGATCAGTGGCACCAGTGTCAAAGATAAATGCTTCAGGTTTGACATGATGAGGTAAAGTGAAGATAATACTTGTGTTGGATTTGGGTTGAGTAATGAGATGATTTACACTATGAGAGCTTGATTTTGATGATTGATGGAGTAAAGCCAACAAAGCTTTATGTTGGTCAGGGATAAGTCCTATGAAAGTTAAAGACTGATCATGAGGCTGATCTTCAGTAGTTTCAGGTTGAATCTCATCTTCATGAGCATGATCATATGCTACATTATTGAGGTGGCTTTGTTGTTGCCAACAAGGAGGGTAAATATGCTTCTTAAAGCATGTATATGGTTGATCATGCCACAATGTGTACAAATTCTTGTACCTCTGCCTCGGCCATCACTAAAGGATCTACCACCCCTAACATTCTTGCCACGAAAAAAAGGAGTGCCTATACCTTGAAATTGACCGGTAGGAAAAGCTAACAGTTTTGATTCATCAATAGGGGAAACAATCTGTCTCTCTTGTTGAACAAGTAAAGAGTAAACTTTGCAAATATTGGGAAGGGATCCATCAACTTAATTTGAGATCTAACTGCAAACTATTGGTCATTTAATCCTTTCAAGAATCTGATAACTTGATCAAAATCCTTGTAACTTCTAATTTTTTCAATCGCTATGCATGATATATCACATTCACATGCCGAAATTGGTAAAAAATTATCTAACTCTTGCCATAACATCTTCAGTTTTGTGTAATAAGATGAATTAGAAGAATCATCTTGTTTGAGGGTGCAAATTTCATCTTGGATATCAGAAATTCTGAACACATCACCATGATAAAACCGGTCTTTCAGCTCTTTCCATATGCTTGAAACAGTTTCCATTCACAAGATACTTTGAGATATTTCAGAATCAACAGAACTGTTTAACCATGACATGATCATCGTGTTGTGTCGATCCCATGCAATAGAATCTCGATCTTCATCTGGCGGTCTTGGCAACACACCATTGATGAAGTGCAATTTATTCTTGGATCTTAAAGCTATAGTCATGGATCTAGACCAAGAATGATAATTCTCGGCATTCAACAACGGAGTAACCAACACAAGAGCTGGATTTTTATGAAATAGGGATTGAGAGTATCATTTTGATAATCCTTGTTGAGGTTGGAAGAAGTATTGAGCTGATGTGAAGGAGCATGTCCACCATGGGTACTATAAGAGCTTTCAACAGACATAGTTGAAACAAATAGTAAGAAAAAGAAAGAATCGAAGAACGATCAAAGGAAGAAAAGAGAAATAGATTGAGATTTGTGAAAGAAATGCAATTATGCAGCGGCAATGATGAGGATATAGCCACAAGTTGATGATACCATATGAAAGTTAAACTAAAGTCACCATTGAAATGTATCGAATATCTTGCCTTGCATTATGTGAACTGAATTACACAAAATCTACTACACAATGATGAACCTCATTACTTATAGTAGCTATAGTTAGTTATTCTCAGCAACTAACTCTCAACTATATCTTAACCACCTAGAAGAAAGTAGTTACAACAGTTACAACTAACTTCACTTGATAATTACAACAGTTACAACCAATTTCACTTGATAGTTACAACCAGTAAAGTTAACTTGTTGCACAAGTAACTTTACTAACTTCAACTATCCTTTTTGTGCTCAACATAAATGCCGCTAAAACAATTTTTAACAAGGATATGATGTTAATAGAAAACTCAATTTTTATTTTTTGAGATCATGCTCAGTGATAAATGAGGCGATTTCACTACAATTCCCTTACACTATTAACAAGTAAGGGGATATCTACTATTGCAGGTGGTTGAAATTGGCAAAGGGAGCAAGGTTAAGTATGAACTGGACAAGAAAAGTGGACTTATAAAGGTGTTATTCTCATTCTTCCCTCTTATAGCCTTTCATTTGTTAAATTCATCTGCTTCCAACAATCTGTTTGGTTTAATGGAAAACTATAAAGGCTGTTTGTTTTGAGGGAATTGCATTGTAATTTAGCATTTTTACAATTTTATCACCGTGCTATTGTCATCTTTTACGTTTAAATGTCTTCAAACTCTGTCAATTTCAAATAAATTCTCTATAATTGTGAGGACTCTTTTGCCTTTGCTTGCCCTGTATATTACACATGTAGTTACATTCAATCATTCTCATTTTCTAAAAGCATTATCAGTGCCTGCGTATGAGTGTCGTGTCTGTTCATGTGTCCTACTTCATGTAGATAATGGTTTGGTTTTTAGCTGTGAAATTTGTGTTTGTTTGTTTTGAAGTGTAACTAACAAATGATGGAATTACATAGGTTGATCGCATTCTTTACTCATCAGTTGTCTACCCACATAACTATGGTTTTATTCCAAGAACCCTCTGTGAAGATGAAGATCCCTTGGATGTCCTGGTTCTGATGCAGGTAACAATTCTAAAAGAACTTTTTCAAGGTATTTTACATAAATAGCATTTTTGTGTGAAATTACAACTATATTTAAATTAGAACTTGGATTTTGAATAGGAGCCTGTGATACCTGGGTGTTTCCTTCGTGCCCGTGCAATTGGGTTGATGCCCATGATTGACCAGGTAAAATTTGTTTCATACTGCATGCACTCGCACACACCCGTGTGTATGGTTTTGTTTGGGAGAATGAAAAAAATCTTTATTAAGTTATCCCTTTTAAAAATGAAAGTTTGATTACTCGTAAACTATTTTATGTGCTTGCGTTATTTTACTCTAACAATGTGCTAGAAAAATAAGTGAATGAAATGATATGCTTTAACTTTCTCTCCCATTGAATTCTGGCACAGGGAGAGAAGGATGACAAGATCATAGCAGTTTGTGCTGATGATCCCGAGTTCCGCCATTACCAGGACATCAAGGAGCTTCCTCCACACAGGCTTGCTGAAATTAGAAGATTCTTTGAGGACTGTATCCTGTTATTTACCTCTTAATATGTAGAGCTGATAATTTTTTACGATATGTTCATAGATGATTCGTTTCACTGTGACCTTTTAAATGCTTATGCCATTGAAATATAAAATCTTGCATTTTTTTTCTGCTAGTGAAAAAGTATCCCATATAGATGTTGTGTATCCTTAACTTTCCACACCAGATAAGAAGAACGAGAACAAAATAGTCAATGTTGAAGACTTTCTACCAGCTGAATCTGCTGTTCAGGCTATTGAACACTCCATGTAAGCTAACTGTCCTGTCCTTCACAATCCTGTAGAATACTCCCTCTAGAGCAAATTGTGCGACTGTTTTTACTTTTTCCATTGGAGATCAAATGATTCATTTAGATTTAATACATGAGTTTTTTCCTTCCCTTTTTGCAGGGACCTGTATGCTGCTTATGTAGTTGGAAACTTAAGGAAATGACTTCTTTGGAAACTGATTAGCAAATTGCAGTGACATATTTGAATATATTGTAAATTGTCTATGAAGATCATTACTTTGATCTGTTTGTCATGCTATAGCACTATAATTAAAATAATAAGCACTTTTCTTTCGTTAAAGTGTTGAAGAAAACATAATCTAGACCATTCAGAGTCCAAACTCTAAAAGGTTTATCCAGTAGGGGTATTATCTAGCATTTCAATGTCTATTTCCTCCTCAATATTCCCCCTCCGTATGGATAACTTCAGTGATTATTGACTCAAGATGACATTCATCCTCAGAGGGCACAACTTTAGTTTGCACCTCCTCATTGATTACATTTTTAAGTTATGATAATTCTTTCAATATGACCATTTACATGCACTTTTCTATTATGCACCTCCTAGTCATTCAATGTCTCATTATTTTTCTCTTCTGTCAGAATTTCTTTTATGAGCATAATTAACTTTGATATTATGATCCTCATCTATGACTACATTATATTTATTATGTTTAGATCCTTTATAATTTTCAATCTTTTTTTCCATGTTTTTGAACCTCTTTAGCCTTTTCGCATTCATCAATAACATGACTCGCATTTCTACAAAAGTTACAAAAGCTTGCTAGTTTTTCATACTCAATACAAACATGGAAATAGAAAAGATGTTCTTCAACCATTATTTTATCATGAAGCGTATCTGGTATAAAGATGTGCACATATTGACCAATATTAGAAGTAATTCATATTTATTAGTTGTACTATTTTCTTAGTCCCTAAGTTTGTTAGAGGGTATTTTAATATTTTTATTTTATTCTAGTAACCCTAGTGTTAGCTTATAAATAGGGTAACAATCATTGCAATTTTGTGGTTGTGTGTAGCCGTCATTCTCTTAATAGAATATTTCTCTATTCATCATTTATTCTACCTTTGCACCAACAATTGGTATCTAGAGCTCCGGTTCATATTCATTGGGAAACACGGGAAACATGAGTGAACGTGAGGTCTTGTGTGTTTGATTTTGATTCTTAGATTCGTATTGAATCTTGAACAAAATCTGATCAGAATTTTAATTCTGTGGGTTGGGAAACACTGTGTGAGAAATCTGAGTATATTGTGCAAGGTAGAAGATGAACGGAAACGGCAACATGAACACCAAACTTCCAGTATTTGACGGTAAAAACTGGAACCGTTGGATGATCCAAATGCGTGTGCTGTTTGGTGCTCAAGATGTTCTAGATCTTGTCACTGATGGTTATGTTCCAGTAGCAACAAATGCAACAGATGAACAGAAAAACGCACAGAAGGAAGTAAGGAAGAAGGATCAAAAAGCATTGTTCTTCATTCATCAATGTGTGAATGTAAATGTGTTTGAGAAGATTGCAAATTCAATGACAGCAAAAGCTGTGTGGGACACACTGGTGAGATGTTATGGTGGTGACGCATCAGTTAAGAAGGTGAAGCTTCAGTCCTTGAGAAAGCAATATGAGAATCTCAACATGAAGAATAATGAGAAAGTCTCTGAATACATCTCCAGAATGATTCTGATCACTAATGAGATGAAGGCGTGTGGAGAAACTCTTTCTGAAGAAGCAATCATGGAGAAAGTATTGAGATCTCTTACCTCTCAATTTGATTACATTGTGGTAGCAATAGAACATTCCAAAGATCTGAGCACCATGAGAATTGAAGAGTTGCATAGCAGTCTAGAAGCGCAAGAGTTGCGTTTGACTGAGAGAACCTCTGAAGAGGAAGTAAAGCAGCAGGCTCTGAAAGCAACTTCTGATAGGAGGTATCAGAAGCAGTCAGAAGCCAGGAGAAGATCTGATGGTGGTCAGAAGTCAGAAAGCTCAACCTCTGTTAGACAAAAGAATGCTCAGAAGGGAAAAGAGAAGTATGACAAGAAGAAGATCCAATGTTACTGTTGTAAGAAGTTTGGTCACTTTGCTAGAGATTGTTGGTCAAACAAGGAGAGAAAATCAGAAGAAGCAAATATAGCCAGAAGTTCTGATGACGAATATGTGCTATCAATGGCCTCTGAATCTGATAATATGGATCTGATAGACTGGTGGTATATGGACACTGACTGTTCAAATCATCTTACTGGAAACAAGAAATGGCTGGTTGACTTTGACTCTGAAAAGAGGACAAAGATCAGATGTGCTGATGACAAATATCTTAACGCAGAAGGTATGGGAAATGTCAGAGTGATTCTGAACAATGGGAAAACAACATTGATTCAGAACGTATGGTATGTACCTGGCATCAGAAGCAATCTGATGAGTGTGGGACAATTAATTGAGAAAGGTTTTTCAATTACCATGAAGGACAATCTTCTAAAGCTGTATGACTGCAATCAAAAGTTGATTATGGAGTCAGAACAGAGAAGGAATAGAACATTCAAGGTGAATGTCAGAACTGCAGACTCAGAATGTCTTAGTGCAACAAGTGCTGAGAAGGAGAGTGAGCTATGGCACATAAGATTTGGTCATTTGAATTTCAGAAGCTTAAAACATCTGAATTCAAAGAAGTTGGTACATGGAATTCCTGCAATTAAGAAGCCTGAAAAGTCATGCAGAGTTTGCATGGAAGGAAAACAACCACGATTGCCATTTGCGTCAGAAGCTGCTCCAAGAGCAAAACATGCCTTGGGAGTTGTACATTCTGATATGTGTGGTCCATTTCCAGTAGCATCAATTGGAGGGAATAAATACTTTGTGTTGTTTGTTGATGAATTCACAAGAACGACATGGGTATCCCTTGTTAAGTTTAAACATGAGGTGTTTGATGAATTCAAGAAGTTCAGAATGAAGGCTGAGAATCAGAGTGGTCAGAAGTTGAAGATTCTTAGAACTGACGGTGGAGGTGAGTATAACTTTAAAGAGTTCCAGAAGTTATGTGAGGAGAATGGAATTGAGCATGAGGTTATTGCTCCTTATACCCCTCAACACAATGGTCTTGCTGAAAGAAGAAACCGCACTTTGTTTGATATGGTGAGAAGCATGCTAAAGGAGAAGAAGCTTTCTCAGAAGCTCTAGGGAGAAGTTGTTGCCACTGCAACGTATGTACTCAACAGATGTCCTACGAAGAAGTTGAAGGAAATAGTTCCAATACATAAGTGGACTGGAGATAAGCAAAGTGTTAGTTATCTGAAGGTGTTTGGTTCTGTTTGCTATAAACATGTTCCAGAAGCCAGAAGACAGAAGCTGGATGATAGAAGTAAAGTGATGATTTTGATAGGGTACCACAGTGCAGGTGCATACAAGCTCTATTGTCCAGAAACCAATAAAATTGAATTCGGCAGAGATGTGATTGTGAAGGAATCAGAAGTTTGGAATTGGGATAAGTCTCAATCTGATTCTGATGTTAGAACTTTTGAAGAAAAATCAGAGTTAAGAATTTCTGAAGTTGGAGTAAACTCTGACGTTGACTCTGACTCTGATAGTGAGTCAGACTCTGGAGAAGACTCAGAAGATGAAGGTGACTCTGATGATCCAGACTCTGATGGTAATCTAGATTCTGGTGGCAATTCAGACTCTGAAGATGGCCAAGGCTCTGGAGGAAGTCAATCATCTGAAGCTAGAAACTCTGAAGCTCAAGACTCTGAACAAGTTCAGAGACCACAAAGAATCAGAAACATTCCCAGAAGATATGCAGAATTTGACATGCTGCAAGACACTGAAGTAGACTCTGAAGGAGAAGTTATTCAGTGTGCCATGATAGTAGACTCTGAACCCAGAAGTACAGAAGAGGCTCTTAAGCAGAAGCTCTGGCTGAAGACCATGAAAGAAGAACTTGATGCTATAGAGAGAAACAAGACTTGGAAGCTGACAGAACTTCCAAAAGACAAGAAAGCCATCAGCGTCAGATGGGTTTTCAAGCAGAAGTTAAAGCCAGATGGTTCAATTGACAAACATAAAGCAAGGTTGGTAGTTAGAGGATTTCTACAGAAACCTTGGCTGAATTATTCTAAAGTATTTGCACCTGTAGCAAGACATGAAACAATCAGAATGGTGATTGCAATAGCTGCTAACAAGAATTGGCCTCTGATGCATTTAGATGTAAAATCTGCATTTCTGAACGGTCCATTAGAAGAAGAAGTTTACGTGTCACAACCTCCTGGATTTGTGAAAAAGAATCAGGAAGGGATGATGTACAGATTATACAAAGCTCTATATGGACTGAAACAAGCGCCCAGAGCTTGGAATCAGAATATTGATTCATTTTTCAAGAAGCAAGGCTTTCAGAAATGTGAGATGGAGTATGGTGTTTATGTTCAGCATACTTCTGAAGGCAATATGACTCTGGTATGTTTATATGTTGATGACATACTGCTGATTGGAAGTTCTGAACAGGAGATAGCCAAGTTCAAGAAAGTTCTGATGAATGAATTTGAAATGACTAATCTAGGCAAAATGACATACTTTCTAGGGATGGAGTTCAGATATTCTGAGAAAGGTATCATTTTGCATCAGCTCAAGTATGAATTAGAACTTCTGAAGAGATTTGAACTGAAGAATTGTAAGATTGTTGTCACACCTTCTGATACAAATCAGAAACTGGATTCTGGCTCTGATGGAAAGGATGTGGACGCTACAACCTTCAAACAGTTGGTTGGTTCTCTGAGGTATCTGTGCAATACCAGACCTGCTATTTGCTATTCTGTTGGGATGGTTAGTAGGTTCATGAGTAAACCTAAGTGGTCCCATTACCAAGCTGTTGTCAGGATTCTGAGGTATATCAAGGGAACTCTGAAATATGGAATGTTGTTTCCTTCTGGAAGAAAGGATGAGTCAGAACTTCTGAGTTATTCAGATTCTGATTGGTGTGGAGATAGAGTTGACAGAAGAAGTACCTCTGGGTACTTGTTTAAATTTCTGGGAGGTCCCATTTCTTGGTGTTCCAAGAAGCAACCTATTGTGGCGTTATCAACCTGTAAAGCTGAATACATTGCAGGTGCTGTTACTGCATGCCAAGCTGTGTGGATTCTAAATCTGTTGTAGGA